AACAGGGATTCACCACTCCAGCCAGAATATCTTCTCTATCTGCTGCTACTCTATAGTTCATAGATAGCACCATCTGGATATCACTGACCACATATTACCTAGTATATTTGTGTCTATCATGTCCCCTACTACATGGTAAACTCCTTGAGATTAAGGATCATGTTTAAACAATATGTATTGGGGCGCCTGGGTGGCTCAGTTGTTAAGCATCTGCCTTTGGCTCAGGTCATGGTCCCAGGGTCCTGGGATCGAGCCCCGCATCAGGCTCTCTGCTCTGCGGGAAGCCTGCTTCTCCCTCTCCCACTCCCCCTGCTTGTGTTCCTGTTCTCTCTGCCTCTCTCAAATAAATAAATAAATAAATCTTAAAAAAAAAAAAAACAATATGTATTTCACACAGCTCTCAGCTCGACTGCTGACCCGCAGATTCTAAAGACTACAACCTTTAAGTGGAGTGCAACTACCCAGGATGAGGTATTAAGCAAATGTTAAAAGAACATTTTTGGGATGCCTGGGTGATTCAGTGGTTAAGCATCTACCTGCTTCTCCCTCTGCCTGCCACTCCCCCTGCTTGTGCTCTCTCTCTCTCTGACAAATAAAATCTTTTTTAAAAAAAGAACATTTTCAACATCTGGCTTAAAAAAGGCAAGCATGCATACTGTGAAAAGAAATCAAAGCCATGAGGACTATCTGAATGTAATGAGGAAATAAATTAATCCAGGCACTGAGCAAACTGAACTTTGAAGATGATCATATCTACTCATGAAGAGACTTCCTTGGGGCTGAGAAGTAGATTAAAGGACTGCCTTGAGGGGTGCCTGGGTGGCTCAGTCAGTTAAGCCTCAGACTCCTGATTTCTTGATTTCGGCTCAGGTCATGAGGTCATGATCTCAGGGTTGTGGGACATGTTGGGCGTGGAGCCTGCTTAAGATTCTCTCTCTCCCTCTGCCCCTCCCCCAGCTCTCTCTCAAAAAAAAAAAAAAAAAGAATGCTTTCTGTAGAAAGTGCCTTAGTTTATCTATGTGAGAACAAAGCTAAGTAAACAATATCTCTAAGTTGGAGTCAAGGATGGCATTTTTGCAGTCAGATGTTCCCTAAAAAACTCTAACATCCCCCCCTTCAAAAAAGTCCACAATTACTTTCCCAATGCCAACTGTTTATAGCTGATGTTTCTCAGATACTGTTAAATAGAGTGTGGTGCATCCTCTACATAAATTCTTTTCACATTCAGAAAAAAGCTGATGTAATAGGTCAAATTTTATTTTTTTATTTTAATTTTTAATTTTTTTAAAGATTTTATTTATTTATTTGACAGAGAGAGACACAGTGAGAGAGGGAACACAAGCAGGGGGAGTGGGAGAGGGAGAAGCAGGTTTCCCACAGAGCAGGGAGCCCGATGGGGGGCTCCATCCCAGGACCCCGGGATCATGACCTGAGCCGAAGGCAGGTGCTTAACCATCTGAGCTACCCAGGCGACCAGATTTTATTTATTTATTTGAGAGAGAGAGACAAAGAGAGCACAAGCAGTGGGAGCAGCAGAGGGAGAGGGAGAAGAAGACTCCCCACTGAGCAAAGAGCCCGATGCAGGACTCGACCCCAGGACCCTGAGATCATGACCTGAGCCGAAGACACTTAACCGACTGAGCCACACAGGTGCCCAACATATGTTCATATTGATTAGGTAATATTTACTGAGAATTATGAGCATGGACAACAAAAATAGCTCTGTGGAAGTACCGTGAGAGATTACAAAAAACATTATACTATGTTATGTATGCTCGCTATTATATTGGTTCTGCCCAATGTGAGTTATACTCCTACAGTTAAGATACATAAAACAAAATATTTAAAGCCAAAGTACTCAACCTCATAAGACCCATCACAAGTGTCAAGAGTGAGACAACCACAATTCGGAGGAAGGTAGAGGCAGGACAAACTACTCTGGGATCAGAAGAGATTGAGCTAGATATCAAATGGTGATGGATTTAGGAAAGCACAGGGCAACTCAGGCATGGGCATGATTTAAGAAAAACGAGTTACATTGGAGAATTTCTATTAAGAGTAGTGGGAGAAAGGGTTAGAAAGTCAAGCTGGAGGGGCGCCTGGGTGGCTCAGTCAGTTAAATGTCTGCCTTAGGCTCAGGTCCTGATCTCAGGGTCCTAAGATGGAGCCCAGCACTGGGCTCCCTGCTCAGCGGGGAGTCTGCCTTTTCCTCTCCTTCTGCCCCTCCCCCTCCCCCGTGCACACGCGTGTGCGCTTTCTGTCTCTTCCTCTGTGTCTCAAATAAAATCTTAAAAAAAAAAAAAAAAAAAGTCAAGCTGGAGCCAGAGTATAAAACTGTGATAGCAGCCTTATAAGTCTGCACTTCATTCCGAGCAACGGTGGTTCTGGGATTCCCGTGTTCATGAGAATCACCAGGGGGACACTGCTGAGTAGATAGATTCTAAGTCCTGAGATTCTAATAGAGTATGTTTGGGATGGTCCTCAAAAACTGCATTTTGTTAAAATATTAGGCTCCCAGGTGATTCCTGGTCCACTGGCACACTTTGAGACACTCTGCCCAAGGACAAAAGATTAAGAATCTTTTTCTACTTCTACTGAATCTTGTAAAATTAACACCAATTTTCCAGAAGCTTGAAAATACCTAACTGCTAGGCCTAGAGGTCTCTCCTCGGTCTTTGTGTTATCCAGTTTTTCTTCAGTATGTGGCACTGATTTTGTCACTGTTTACATCTTGAAAATTATCTTAATACTGTGTTTTTTGGGTTCTCTCTGCATTTCTGATCTCTATAGTGTCCTCTGGCCTCTCATTTTTTTGCTCCTCCTTTATGTTTTCCCACGATTCTGACATTGGTCCTCTCTACAGTTCTCCCTGCATGATTTCATTCACTCCCAAGGAGTATGGAGAACTTTCATTCCAACTTCAGAAGTTTAGACTTTGACCCGTAGTTAAAAGGTTATAAAAGTTTATGAACGGTAATATAACACTGTATGTTTAACTATCCTGGGGTTAGAATAAACAACTTAATAAAAAAAAGTTTCTGAACTGTGGAATATCATGGAGAAAAGACTGTTCTAGGATCATTACCTTGGAGATGGTCTGCAAAAAGGATTAGAGGCAGGAGAAATAGGAGGAAGAGAGAATAATTAGGAGACTATCAAACATTTAAAGTCGTCACTACAGTGTGGCTTCAGAACGAAAATGTTACTTTTCTATAGATCTTGCCTTTCTGAAACTAGTATTATTTCAATAAATTAATAGGTAAGGCATTTCTAGTTTTTTTTTTAATTCAGTAAGTTTGGGAATGATTAAACTTAATAAATACATAAGATTTTATTTAGAGAGAGAAAGCGAGAGAGAGAGCATGCATGTGAATGGGAGGAGGGGCAGAGGAGAGGGAGAGGCAGAGAATCTCAACCAGACTCCACAGCTTGACGGGGGCTTGATCTCACAACCCTGCGACCATGATCTGAGCCAAAACTAAGAGTTGGACACTTAACCCACTGAGCCACCCAGGTGCCCTAACTGCATCTACGTATAACAAATCAGGCCCTCTGCAATATTAACCATAGATATTAAAAATAGGACATGTCACTGTCTTAAAACACCAATGTGAGTTCTTATTCTACAAAACAAGTGGCATAGGACTCCATAGCACTTGATCTTTATAATTGGTAAGTTGACTTCTTTCATTATGGAGTCAATAAATCATCAATAATACAGATATGATTCATTAACGGTGGGCCTTTTTTTACTTGAACTAATGAAGGAATGGTAAGTGTGTTTGATTTTACTTTGTATGAGTATATTCAAGGTATTAAAACCACATTCATCAGTAATGTCTTATATACAGTATTTGCTGTAACTGAACCCATATTGTTTCTAAATGGGCAGATAAAATAATACTTAGAAATTCTAATTGAGACATTCTAGAATCTTAGAAAAACAGAGGCAGAAGGCACATAAATTAGGTGCGACCCTACTGCCACCTAATTCTGTAAGTAAACCAATTTATTGGCTGTTCTTTCCCAAGTGATCCACACTGGGAGATGCTAAGCCTTTACCAAGATCAATGTCAGTTTTAACAATTCTCATTTAAGGAAAAGTAGAAAGATGGACATTATTCCTCCCTATAATATGATCTTGGGAAAAATAAGCACTATCTTACTTTCCACAGCACTATCCTCATTATACACTGGGAAGATAAAAGGAGGGATCTATTGAAGGTTCTTTGAGCATCTTGGGCCAGAAGAGCTACAGAAAGCCAAGGTGTAATTTTCATATCCACTATTTCTCCTGTCTTAACTCTCTTGTCCTAGCCTCCTTGGAAATGAAAGTTGGCCATCACTTTCTGCTTAATAACTCTTCATGTAGTTGAAATTGCTATTCTCCACAAGTACCTCAAGCAAATTTTTTTTTTTTAAGATTTTATTTATTTATTTGAGACAGAGAGAATGAGAGAGACAGAGAGCACATGAGAGGGGGGAGAGTCAGAGGGAGAAGCAGACTCCCTGCCGAGCAGGGAGCCCGATGCGGGACTCGATCCCGGGACTCCAGGATCATGACCTGAGCCGAAGGCAGTCGCTTAACCAACTGAGCCACCCAGGCGCCCTCAAGCAAATTTTTAAAAAAAACTATAAAACAGCAATCTAGGGCTATGAGTCAGCATTTCACCTACACACAAAATCAAAATGATTTAAAATAGGTAACACATAATCTTTTCCAAAAGACATAGACACCTTCTTAGAAAAGCTTTGAGAAAATTGGAGTTCAAAAGTTTATGAATAGTTTATTACATTTCAATAAATGTATCATGAATCAATAAAGCAAGAGTTAAGGACAATGAGCTCATTACCAAGCCAGTTATTGATTCTCAAGTTCCAAAATAGAATAGTACAGGAAGGATATAGAATAATAGGATTTTCGTGATAACAAAAACTTTAAGTATCTTAGGAGGACAGACCTAAAGAAATGATGACACAAAGGAATTTTTAGCAGCTACTTAAGATGTTTATTCAAGTTATTTTCTTCATCTTTTGGTAATTAGAAATATTATTTGGTATTTACACTTCAAAATATCTTTTCAAATAAAGTCAGAGGAGTTTGCAAAAACTGATTATCTTTTTTTGATTCATTTATTCTTTCAGTTTCTCATATATCTTCTTCTCTTGACTGAAAAATCTACCCCATTAGCTGTCTATCTTGTATCACTATCTTCATCAGCTCAGGTTGTCCTAACAAAATACCATAGACTGAGTGGCTTGAACAACAGAAAATTATTTTCTCACAGTCTGGAGGCTGCAAGTTCAAGATCAAGGTGTCAACATGGTCAGTTTCTGATAAGGGTTCTCTTCCTAGTTTGTAGATAGCCCCCTTCCTACTGCATCCTCACATGGTGGGAGCAAAGAGAACGAGCAAGCAAGCTCTCTGGTTACTCTTCTTATGAAGATTCTAATCCCATCATGAGGGACCCACTCTTATGATCTCATTAACCCTAATTACCTCCCAAAGCCCCATCTCCAAATACCATCAAATTGGGGGACTTCAACATGTGAATGGGAGTGGGGCACAAACATTCACTAACAGAAAAAACACTGGCTCGAAATCGTTAAATAATATGGAAAAGAACAAGTCAGCTTGTTTCCAAATAATTGCAGTAGAAAGCTTCCCTTTTTCTTTTTCTTCCTTTTATGGCAATCTAAGTAAGAAAGGACTTCCTAGAACACTTATGAACATAATTTCACAAAGCAGTAACTTTTAAAAACCAAGGACAGAAAATGAGACATACATTAAAAAACTGAGAAACAGAAGTATTAATTAACCAATTGGTATATTAAATAAAAACTTTTTTTTAAAGATTTTATTTGACAGAGGGAGACACAGTGAGAGGGAACACAAGCAGGAGGAGTGGGAGAAGGAGAAGCAGGCTTCCCACTGAGCAGGGAGCCCAATGTGGGGTTCAATCCCAGAACTCTGGGATCACGACCTAGCTGAAGGCAGACGCCTAATGACTGAGCCACCCAGGGGCCCCAAATAAAAACATTTTTTAATCTTCATACCTTGTTCTTGTATCAACTTAAGATTTTTTTAAAAGATTTTACTTATTTGCTTGAGAGCGAGAGAGAGTGAGAGAGCACAGAGGCAGAGGGAGACGGAGACCCCTCGCTGAGCACAGAGCCTGTGCAGGGCTCCATCCCAGGACTCTGAGATCACAACCTGAGCTGGAGGCAGATGCTTAACGACTGAGCCACCCAGGCACCCCTCAACTAAAGATTCTTTTTTTTTTTAAGATTTTTTTATTTGTCAGAGAGAGCGAGCGAGAGCACAAGCAGGGGGAGTGGTAGGCAGAGGGAGAAGCAGGCTCCCTGCTGAGCAAGGAGCCTGATGTGGAACTTGATCCCAGGATCCTGGGATCATGACCTGAGCAGAAGGCAGACGCTTAACCGACTGAACCACCCAGGCACCCCTCAACTAAAGATTCTTAAAATGATTTAAAGCACTTGGATGTCCTTGGAAAGTAATATAATGCACAATAACATTTCTAGACTACATTTTCACAGATATTATTAAAAAGAATAGTAAATAATATATTGTTTTCATTCAGAATATGGAAAACTGAACAGAATATGGAAAACAGAATAAGTAAAACAAAATTGACAAAACTGTAATTGGTTTGCGTGGGATTTTACCTAATTTTAATACAAAGTTATTTTTATTACATACTTCATACATTTGAGGGTATAAGAAATATTTTTCTTGATCGCACAAATTCTTCATGCAAAATACTTAAATACAGCTCTCTAAGAATATTTCCACAGTGACTATAAGGTGAATAGAAAGCATTTTTCAAGTTTTCAAGTGGAAGTGTAGGGGAAAGCAGGACGAAAGGTGACTGAGATCCAGAGTTTGGTGACTTGGCAAGGCAAGGTCATCCAATTAACAGGTTGCAGAGGTATGGATAGGACCCAGGATTTTCTTGTCTAAAAATGCTACAGATTAGTGTATTCAAGAGGAAGAAAATCGAATTATAGTTGAGATCATTTTATACCAGAAAACAACTGTAGAAACTTTTAATTTTTCAAAACTCAATTAGGTGTGTGTATGGTCCGTTGGTATCCAGCTGTAACACCTGCCTGTTCCCGTATGTACCATGTTCCACCACAACCCCAGCTTCGGCACACTTGCTGTTGGCAGCCAGTTCTTTTTCACATAGAATCACAAATTGGGAATAAAGTTCCAAGCCTTCTTCTTTTCCAGAGTTAGAGTGATACTGCATGTTTCTTCCTTTTACTCTCCCCCCAAGGGTGGCTTGAGGGATGATTAGAACATTGCCAGGTAGGTCCAATATAGACACGTGCTTACCATTTTCTGTTTCACTTAACTTCACATTTAACAGTGTATTAACTGGGTGGGGAAGAAAGGCAAAACATCTTGAAGTCAGAAACATGAAGAAAACCAATAATCATCTAGTCAGCAAATCTCATGTTTAAAATCTAGTTTGTTGGCTCATGCTTTTTACCCAAAATCTGTACTCAGATTTAAAGAACTGCTTCACTAAGCTAAATGACCTAAGCAGGAAAATAAGGCAAATTTCATGCAAAAAATGGCATGATGTTTTAAATCCAACTGGGCAGTCAAGATTCCTAACAATAAATTCATGCAGTAAGGACTAAAAATTAACTGTATACTGAAACCTCAAAATATTGTTGCCCCAGGGGGATACATGAGAAGATTTTGCATTTTTGTTCCTTTTTATATTCCATAAGCCAATCTCATTGGAAAAAGGCCATGATGAATCCTCCTCACACCAAATTCTGCTTTATAACAAAGAATATTAAATAGAAATCTTAGAGTAACTTAATTGCCTAGAGTTCTAAGCTGAGACAAAGGTTCCAGGTTTATTATGATTATAAACCAGATAATTTTGCAGTTGCATAATCTCAAAGGCACTAAGTAACACAGTCTAATCATATGACAAATGTAACCCATGGGAGAGGAGTAAAGCTGAAAACAAGAATCATCAGAAATTCACTGTTACAACCAAAAAAGTATATCAAAAGGTATATTGGCATTATGTTCATAAACACACAAGAAAACATGGTGTTATTATTTTTTGGCATTTATGACACTATACTCTTATAGCTATTAAGAACTGTCAAAAAAGCCATAAATATCTATGTCTAGCTAAAAATCTAAACTTAGAAAACCTTTACATCTCAACATTAGCTATTTTCAAAACAATAAACAAAAGAAACACCTAATATGAATAGCCTTAGGGTCTTCTTGACTCTATAAAGGGTATAAATAACTTCTGCTTATAAAGAATATTCCTCAGGGGCGCCTGGGTGGTTTGTCGGTTAAGCATCTAACTCTTGATTTCAGCTCAAGTCATGATCTCAGGGTGGTGAGATCAAGCCCTCATTCGGGCTCCATGCTTGGCATGGAGTCTGCTTGAGATTCTCTCTCCTCTTCCTCTGCCCCTTCCCATGCTTGCACACACACACACACACACACACTCTCTCTCTCTCTCTCTCTCTCAAATAAATAAAATCTTAAAAAAAAAAATATTCCTCAGAGGACAAATGGTAAAAGACTATATAGATCTCACACACCTACCCAATAATTAGGCTTGAAAAGGTATGCTTTCTAGTAGGGTTGTCAATGGTTTCAAGTATTGGAGGGTTTGTAGTAAATATTAGGAAAGACTCAGTCTGGTTGCCCCACTCTACAGATCAGGGAATTGACCCGGTAGAAACCTGCTAAGATGAACACCCAAATGAATTCCTAAAGTATGCATTAAGCATTTTCAATTTTCAACTAATATCTATTTTAAAATACCTCTAATTTTCTCTATTATGAATAGGACTTTGCTATATAGCCAGCAGTTGTTATTGATTGCTTCTAAGGAAACTGTAACTCTCCAGGGCACTTTGTTCCAAGGGAAATCTCTATCCAGCTAGCCAGGCCTCAGGCTAGTGACAGACTAAGTAGACAATTTTGGAATAACAGGCGAGCGAGGTAAGTACAATTTATTATACTTCCTCACACCTCCCTCTACTGGCTATAACTGAGAATTCAATTAATGTTGTTGGTATACAAATACCAGTATGTAGAAATAAATATAATACAAATACAACTGTCAGTAAGTAGAATTAAAATGAGACAAGGAATCAATGGTACATTGGAAACTCAAAGATCTTAAGACAGGTTATCAATCAAGTATCTCCAACGATGTATATGGGAAGTTAAGCTTTGACAGGTTCCTGGATCTCAGTTCAATTATACTGAAGATGAATTGAGAAAGATTCTGCACATCTCTATGTTAGCCATGTAACTTCAGACTTTATGGATATAACTGATTATGTTCCCAAGGGGTATATGATTTGAATAGAAAGATCTGAATCCATGTAAAAGTATGAGGTGGGGTTTAAGAGAAGCCCATCACACAGGCTTACTTTGCTCCTGGAATAAAGGAAGTACAAGCTAATGCTATCAATAACAGATGGACTTTTTTCTTTACAACTCACACCAACCAGCAGAATGGGATAGAATCTCTGTTCTTTACTGAGAATCATGATATATACAGTTTTATTTTCGACTGTCCACTAAAAGAGCTAAGGTGGACCTCCTAATTCATCACAGTCTTAATGTATGTATTCAGAGTGAACTTAGACATAGATGGAAGCGCACAGGATTTATCTACTATTACACAAAATGTAGCTTGGATTTGGTTGACTCATTTCATTTTATTATGCTTAAGAGTCACTTAAGAAAGTATGAAACAACTTTAGGAGTCAATCGTAAGTCACAATGACAAAAATTCTCTTCCTGTTTTTGTAGATTCCTACTACACTTTCTATGGTCAATAAAGATTTAATTCAAGGCAAAATATTAACTTAGGAAAATGGACAGAATGTCCAGTACCCAAGCAATAGGTCTTGGCAAATCATCCTCTGTAATAGGAGCCTTCATTTCATTTGCTCTATTATTTTATTTTTTTAGGATTTTATTTATTTATTTGACAGAGAGAGACACAGGGAGAGAAGGAACATAAGCAAGGGGAGTGAGAGAGGGAGAAGCAGGCTTCCCGCTGAGCAGGGAGCCCGATGCGGGGCTCGATCCCAGGACCCTGGGATCATGACCTGAGCTGAAGGCAGACACTTAAAATGACTGAGCCACCCAGATGCCGCCCCCCCCGCTTTTTTTTCAAGTAATCTCTATATCCCAACATGGGGCTCGAACTCATGATCCTGAGATCAAGAGTTGCATGCTCCACTGACTGAGCCAGCCAGGCACCCCTCATTTTCTCTTTAAACCCTAGAAAGCTCCCTATTATCTTCCAGAATCAAATTTCAAACCATCAGTTCTTGGCTTTCCCCCTTACCTATCATAGTCCTTTAAGTCTAGTTTTCATTCCCTGACAAAGTTGTCAAACATGTTTGATGTCTTGGTATAAAATTACCTCTGGGAGTTTTTGCCTTTTGCCCCAGAGGTTCCTCATTGGGCTATTTACCCTGGAGTGCCACTACTTGAAGCTCTTCTAGGTTAACTTCTGCATGTTGCAACTACCCATTTGTATAATTTATATTTCTTATTAATCCAACTAATGGGTGCTGTCCGCTACTAATAAAGAGAATATAACCTGTCCCCAACCTTAGGGATAGCTTCATTAATTCAGGGTTTTTTTGTACATAATTATTTTATCAAATACTATCTAGTATTTGATGTGCTGTATCTGAAACTATGTAATTATCACAAAGAATGTGCAGTGCTATGGACTATCAGGGACAGTGGAGAACTGCAGGCAGGTAAATTAGTGTTCAGAGATAACTGAACACTGACCCAGCTTTTCTGTCCCTGGAGGAGGTATGGTTGTGATGACACTGAACCTTGTTCAAGATCAGGAGAACCTTATATTTATATACATTTCTTATTTAAAAAAAGGTGCATAAATAGTTAATTTAAAATTTTCCATAATAATAAGACTTAGCTGTCCAGATTTGATGAGACCCACATCTTGCACATACAGTGTCACCAACATGACCCCGTCAGGGACTGTGGGAGATAAGGAAACTGTGGGAGATAAGGGCGCGTGGGTGGCTCAGTTGGTTAGAGCAGTTGCCTTCGGCTCAGGTCACGATCCCAGGGTCCTGGGATCAAGCCCCGCATTGGGCTCCCTGCTCAGCAGGAAGCCTGCTTCTCCCTCTCCCTCCACCTGCCGCTCTGCCTACTTGTTCTGTCAAATAAAAAAATAAAATCTTAAAAAAAAAAAAGAAAAGAAATGAAGCATCTGCTTCTTCCTATGTGGCCACCCTGCTTCTAACAAGTTTCTGTTAGAAACGTGGCTGAATCTCAATTGTGCTATGTGTGCACGCGTGTGTGTATACTCTTCTAATCTAATCTATAAGCCATCTGAAATGGTGCAGATGTTTTGAAAGAATCCCACCACACTTGCTTACTTTAAACTTTGGAAAAGGCAAAAGTAGCTAAAGCCAACAACTGTAGAGTTAACTCATTTAAAACTTACCAGTAAAACTTAAGATTGTGGTTTTTACCTCTTCTGGTTCATCTATCTGTTCCTACTCATTTTTACTTTTAAAAAACAAACATCAAGTACGTACCCATTTTGGGAAGAAGTTCTTTATTAGCTCCCTTGAAAAAACACACGTAGATTACTAATCCTCTCTGAACCTATGAGAAATCACCAGAGAAAACTCAGATTAGAAAAAAACTACATAGCAATACAGAAGTAAATGAATAAAGTTTCAAAACTGCTATATGGAGATTAAACCCATAGGAAGAGAAATATATTTTTATAACAGATTTGATTTTTTAAATATGTGAGAAAACAAAATCTTTTCCAATATTTAATCACCTCAATTATCATTTCTTGCAAAAATTAAGTTTAAGATATAACCAAGAGCAGTGAAGACCACAAGTTGTACCCTCAAACATTTACTTCTAGTCAAAGTCATTATGAGTAAGAACCAGCCTTCTCTCCCTTAAGTAAGGCTGACACTTAGAAATGTGTAGTTTGCTGAGCCCCATTTATTCAACACCAAATGAATTCACATAATATTAGATATGGCTGATGTATAAGCAACAGCGTGACTGATGTCTTTTGACATCATTACTCTTTGTTCTTCCAAATCCATTTACTTGCAGGTAATAAAACTAAGGGTCTGACTCTACTTCACTAAATTCCAAGAAATTGTCCAATTATTTTTTGTTATTGTCAATGCTTTAAATCAACAGTGATTAAGCCTTGATACTGCATTTATGATATTAAGTTCTACATCATGAGGTTGTCTGTTAACAGGAATGTAAGTTTTTTATTTTTATTATTTTTATTTTTTATTTATTTTTAAAGATTTATTTATTTATTTATTTATTTGAGAGAGAGAGAATGAGAGACAGAGAGCATGAGAGGGAGGAGGGTCAGAGGGGGAAGCAGACTCCCCGCCGAGCAGGGAGCCCGATGCGGGACTCGATCCCGGGACTCCAGGATCATGACCTGAGCCGAAAGCAGTCGCTTAACCAACTGAGCCACCCAGGCGCCCCAGTTTTTTATTTTTTAAGAGAGCAAGCTCGAAGGGGAGAGTGACAGAGAGAATCTCAGGTAGGCTCCACCCCCAGTGCAGAGCCCACCTAAGAGGAACTCAATCCCACGACCCTGAGATCATGACCTGAGCTGAAACTGAATTGGACGCCCAACAGGCTGAGCCACCCAGGTGCCTCAGGAATGTAAACTTTTAAATATAATGACTTGGATATTTCTTTTTTGACTCTTGTAGAATATATATGGAAAAGAGAGAAATGATAAATGACTCTGATTTTGCTGCTGAGTCAATCATTAAATTTCTTATTTTGTAGATTAACCTTGAGTCCAAGAGCTATTATAAAGATTAATTAATATTTGTAAAGTGCTTAAAACAGTGCCTAGCTCATAGTAACAGCTACATAAGTGTTTATTAAATTAGAATGTAAAAATAAATTTAAGGGCTGAAGCACAATTTATTTTACATTTTAATTCCCAAAGCACTTTACAGACATGATAGGGACTCAATTTATCTGTTGTTTGCATTTAAGTTCAACTGTATCTTACAGGCTCTATGTGTTATCTAAATAGTCTTCTATATAAACATAAATGCAGCTTTGCACTCACTCTTGATTTGCTGGAAATAAGTAACTTTTAAGAAGTGCAAATGTGCTTCTGGAACAAGCAAAGGTCTCCAAAGCACACCCATAGTAAGGAGCTGGCAGGATGAATGATACAGATATTTGCACCACTGTCACAGGTCACTGCACTGGGATTGTTTTAGTACCAGCCCAAATCTCAAGCACATTCAGTCAAAATCTCAGGCATATTCATATTTGGACACTTGCAATGTCAGAATTAAGTATGTAATGATATGCAGAAATAGACACCTGTTCCTTCCACCCACCACACTACCTCCTCGTTAAGGTATTTTTTTTTTTAGTTTATTCCAATAATAGATCTTAAGTTGTGACCTACAAATTCCTCTTCAAGTCAGAACCACTTTTCTTTTAGCTTCTTATGGTAGAAAACATTTTAAATATATAGGAAATTACATATAATTCTCATAGTTTTTTTTAAATTTTTAATATTTATTTATTTTAGAGAGCAGAGACAGAGAGCAAGCACATGCATGAGCAGAGGGACAGGCAGAGGGAGAGGATCTTCAAGGGACGCCTGGGTGGCTCAGTCAGTTAAGTGGCTGCCTTTGGCCCAGGTCATGATGCCAGGGTCCTGGGATCGAGTCCCACATCAGGCTCCTTGCTCAGCAGGGAGCCTGCTTCTCCCTCTCTCTTCATCTGCTTGTGCTGTCAAATAAATAAAATCTTAAAAAAAAAAAAAAAAAAAAAGAGGATCTTCAAGCAGAATCTCTCTGCTGAGCTCCGAGCCCAGTTCAGGGCTGGATCCCACCACTCATGAGATCATGACCAGAGCTGAAACCAAGAGTCAGAGGCTTAACCAATTGAAACACCCAGGCACCCCTCTCACCATAATTTTAAAAAGTTCACCTTTTCAGGAAGAAAAACATTAGCCTGTGACAGCAATGGTCTAAATGAATAAAACTGAGAACACAAAGTAACCTTCAAATCTTTTGACGTAACAATATTTCTTTTAAAAAAAATTATAACTTTTAATAGAATAGGGAAGAGGATGTTTGAAAAGGAGGAAAAAATTTACTTTCTATCTAATTAATTGTCAGTTCTTTATGTGTGGGAGTGAAAGGGAAAGCTTTAGAATAGCTTTTAGAGTTTATCAACACAAACTGATAGTTTGGAAGGCTGCAATATGATTTTGCATAAAGAACTGTGGCATGAAGAATATAAAAAGATTTAAAAAATGGAAGAAATCGGGTACAGGATGAAAATGGCGGCGGCGGTGGCATCTGTGTCCCGGCTGTCTGGGCTGCTAGGTCGGTCCGGGGCACAGCTGGCGCGGTCCACGTCGAGTGGCGCCCACGGCGAGGAGGGCTCAGCGCGCATGTGGAAGGCTCTCACCTACTTCGTAGCGCTCCCTGGCGTGGGTGTGAGCATGCTGAATGTCTTCCTGAAGTCGCGTCACGGAGAGCATGAGACCCGAGTTCATCGCCTACCCCCATCTCTGCATCAGGTCCAAGCCCTTTCCCTGGGGAGATGGTAATCATACTCTATTCCATAACTCTCACGTGAATCCACTTCCAACCAGCTATGAAGATGAATAAAGAGAACCTGGACCACCACCCAGTGGGGACCACAGCACTGGTTTGGACCATGACTCTGCACACGGACCAGAAAAAAGAAAAGTCTATGGGACCTTAAGCTCACCTTCCTTACTTGTATCAAATGATGACCAGTATACTGATCTTCCATCCCTTTGCTTATGGCAGGAGATGGCTTAAATAAATAACTTAGATTGGTCAAAAAAAAAAAAAAAAAAAAAAAGGAAGAAATCTAAATGATTAATAGTTTGGAATTTATAGCCCCAAGAGTTAACTATAAAAAATTGGCAATTCTTTTGATAGGATGACAAATATGAAAAGAACCAAATTCCACAATACAGAAGACAAATCAAGACCTCAAAAAGGGGGGGGGGTGCATAACAAAAACAAGAAACATGAATTTTTGAGAAAGAAATGGGTGGGGGAAATATAGGAATATTTGTGTTTATAAATATTTCTAAATTAGCAGAGAGTTATAGCTTCTGCTTTAAGAATAACTATCCACATATCATAGTTTATGCATAATATTTAACATAATGACTAGGACTGTGTTAAGGAATGCTAGATCTGGGCCTGAATCCAGCAGATGAGTGAAAAAGATGCTCCTACATTAAGTTTTCGAGTATCTCCAAAAGCCTTAATTAGCAACTAATTTTTCTTCATTTTAACTTACTCCAAAAATAGGTCAGGAACGTTAAAGAACATTTTGTTTTTGCATAGACTTGGGGCAGGCTGTCTTTAAAGGGCAAATACTAGGGGTGCCTGGGTGGCTCAGTCGTTGGGTGTCTGCCTTAGGCTCAGGTCACGCTCCCAGGGTCCTGGGATCGAGCCCCATATCGGGCTCCCTGCTCGGCGGGAAGCCTGCTTCTCTCTCTTCCTCTGCCCCTGCTTGTGCGCTCCCTCTCTCGCTGTATCCCTCTCTGTCAAATAAATAAATAAAATCTTAAAAAAAAAAAAAAAGGGCAAATACTAAAGTAGAAGGAACTCCTATCGGTGTGTTTTAAATTCTCCGGAGGAATTGTGTTCAACAACAATGCAACATTATAATAAAAGTAGTCGTCTTTGTTTCTGGTTCCAAATACGTAAAATTTTTAAGTTTCTTGAAAAAAGAATTGTTTCACGGGAAGTCTCATTTCTGTGCCTAGCTGCAGGCTACATAACAGGGAATTCCACAGGATCTGGAGCACAAGTCAAAACAGGTCTTGAACGTTAGCAACTAATCTAACCTACAAGCTCGAACCAGACCAGCACTAGCCACCGGCAGCCCGAGCAAAGCAAAGGACGTGGCAAGGCCCTCGCTCTTTTGAAGCAAGAGATCTGAGACAATTAGGCCTCAAGTCCACCAGGCTCAGGTAGGCAGAAGGTGAGACGACGTTCAAATTCCCGCGGTCCTAGGCAGCGTACACGCTCTTCCGCCGGCGCAACACGTCTGAGAGAGAAGGGGAAGTGCCAGGACCCGCAGGCCCCTGCGGGAGGAGGTGGGTGGGCCGAGCGGAAGTCCGCACCGCCCACAGCACGTGCGGGCGCCACGCACCGCCAGCGCGGAGGGAGACGTGGGGGGCGGGGACGGGAGGGAGACGTGGGGGGGGGGCGGGAGGGAGACGTGGGGGGGGCGGGAGGGAGACGTGGGGGGGGGCGGGAGGGAGACGTGGGGGCGGGGAGAGGGAGGGAGATCACCAAAAGAACGCAGGAAGGCCCGCCCCTGCACGCGGTACCGCGAGTGGCGGGGCTGACGTTACCTCCACCCACTGGCTCTCGGCGTCTCCCTCGGCTGGACGTACTTGCAGCCTGGCGTGCAGGCACTGCTGCAGAAGCGCCCGGGCCTGAGGTATCCGGCCGCTTTCAGACATGGTTTGAACCCGCGTGGCAATCCGATACGTTCGAGGATCGCGCTGCGCAGGCCCCGCCTTCAGCGCGCGGGGAGGACGTGGCGGATCGTGGCAGCGGGACGTTCCACGGGCTCGTGGCTCCACCCCTAGAGGGGCGGGGCCTCTGCCTGGCTCCAAGGTGACCCGGATGTGTGATCTTCGAAGGCAATGCATTGACTCCTCCGATGAACCTATCCAACTTTGTAGAGAGCGCTCAGTGTATACTTTAAACGAGTGGGAAGACTCATTGGAACTCTTCCATACACACCCTTTAAAGAAATTTAGCTCAGAAAGCTTAAGTTCCCAGACGTTGAGAAATTTTAAATCTGCTTAAGTCCTTATTATGCCCATTATGAAGGTAGGTAAATAGAATGAATCAGTTGAATCATAAAACAAGCAGAAATGGAACTAAAAGCTATAAATCTTTCAAAAATGTCCTTACTCCAATCAATAAAACAACGATACCTCGTCTGTCAGGAATGCTATTAATTATTCTGACGCTGCAGTTTCGGAAAAATGTTGGTATGCTGTGTGAATGCACATTTGGAGTGCAGTTCTTTAGAAAATACCCTCTCTAAAAATATTCTTATCCAAGAGAGTGTGTCATTGTTCATAAATTTTTTAACCTGCTGCTAATGCAAAAATAAAGTGACATATTCTGATGCACATAATGATGCCAAATTTTGTGGGGTTTCCTGTAAATACATATTAGAATGTAAATAAAAATTAGACAAAGGCTTGATCTTCTTTCCCACACAACCTATTCCTTGAATATGCATCAGATTAGCATTATTTTTCTATGGGCTTGGAGGGTTTAGATGAGGAATAATAGTGCTACCATGATTGCATTACTCAGGTCATTGATTTGGGCTCAGTTGGCACAATATGCCTATACATTTGGGTCTGTTGTTTTAGAAGATGACATCACTGACAGTGTTGCTATCCATATAAAGTAGTGTGACTGAAGAAAATAACCCATGCATAATCAACGGTCCTTTCTACACAAAATTGAAGCTGCCTGTTTGCTGGTCATCTTGCAGGCTGATTTACACTTTCTGTAAAAACCAAAAGCAAAATCTCACATTATCTCTGACTGCTGCATTGCAGGGGTTCCTGCGTTCGTTGACATTTGTTGGCAAAGCACAGACAAGTTGCATTGTTTGTGCCTTTATGTCGTTATAACTATTGAATCTCTTTTCTCTTCATTCCCGGACTCAAGTTTTACAGGGCTGTAAGGGACTTTGACATAAAGGCCCTTAGCCTTGACCCAGAGTAAGAGAGGACTATGATGTCCATTTGTATATGAGTACAGGAGACAGCAAGTTTTCTTGAAAATAGGATATATGGTTCCTAGAGATCTTTCCACAGTGAAGGGACTTTAGCAAATTGGGACATCCATCCTGTGAATAGGTGGATGCTGGTTGGTAATGGTTAATCTCTCAAAAGTCACCGATTGCTTTAAATCTTTCTGTTAGGTGAGAATCTCTTGGACACTACTGCAGGTAGTATAGGTTGTGACTCACTTATTCTTTCCTTCCCCCTGCAGAGGGCAGTAGAGAGTAGGCACTAAAGTATTCCTTTCTGTATTTTATTTTTTGACCTTCTAGTCTCTTTCCACAAAGAATTTAAGAAGACAAGACATACATGCAATAAAATAGTAGAATGTGAATAAACATAAAGCACTAGGAGTAAAGAAAATAGAGTTTTATCAGTAAGTCCCAGTGAGGGAAATTGAAAACAAATAAATAAACTGGTTCTTGCCTGGAGTGCTGAGATGATATAGTATGCAGCAGTCTTTACAGATACATCACTTTTTGTTACAAAACGGTTATACCCATTGTCAGTCAAGAAGAAGAGGCTGTAAAGCAGCCAGGAGCATTTATTTTGGGGTCGTAGGGATTACAATCCTGGAGCCACAGAGTGGACTGAAATTGAAAGTGTGTTCAGAATTGTAAGTGGAAAGTGCAGACGTATAAAGGCAAAGCCCAGGAGGTTATATGACTTCCTTTGATTGAATTGTGATTGGTGCTGACAGAGTTAAACTATCTAATAAACAATGGGCTATTTAGCTGATAGAGGTTACATTATCTCTATTCCAGTCCAAAGTAGAAGGATGTGTTCTGGAAGGTGGCAGAGGTGCAATTGACAAAAATCAAAAGTCCAGGGTGTTCCAATAATTGAAACAGACGTGCATATGCCTTGCTTCTTCCATACTCCCCTGACCCTATTTTTGAGTGACTCTCTTAGCAATGTTTACTTCACTTTGGAATTTTCTTTCATAACATCATATGTAATGTTGAGGTGGCACACGTTGTACAATTTCCTTCAAGTTAGAAGTAAAAGGTGAGGGGCACCTGGGTGGCTCAGTCGTTAAGCGTCTGCCTTCAGCTCAGGTCATGATCTCCCAGGGTCCTGGGATCGAACCCCACATTGGGCTCCCTGCTCAGCGGGGAGCCTGCTTCTCCCTCTCCCTCTGCCTGCCTTTCCCCCTGCTTGTGCTCTTTCTCTTTCTCTGTCAAATAAATAAAATCTTAAAAAAAAAAAGAAGTAAAAGGTGAAGTGCATCATTAAGTTGGCTCTAGAGGAGGGTGGTGGTTGAACAAGAACATAAGAGTAGGCAAGAAATCACTGAGCAGGAATAGTTCTTGAACTGTTACAGTGCTGAAAGGGGACTGTACGGTTAGTGGGTTATGTAGGAATGTATTCTAGGCCCTCTGATATGGTACAGTGATTGATTTAGAGTTTGTTTTTTTTTTAAAAAGATTTTATTTATTTATTTGAGATAGCATGAGCTGGGGAGAGGGGGAGAGAGAAGCAGATTCCCCACTGAGCAGGGAGCCTGATGTGGGGCTCAATCCCAGGACCCTGGGATCATGACCTGAGCCAAAGGCAGATGCTTAACTGACTGAGCCACCCAGGTGCCCCGAGGTAGATGTTTTAATCTTACAGAGGCTGGAAAAAATCTAGCCCCCCACTTGAAAGCTCCAAGATTTAATTTTTTCAGTGGTTAGTGAGGTGATCAGGTTCTGAGAAATTAGTTCACACTAACTAAAATGCACATGAATTGGGGTAGAACCAGAATACTAATTCATTTATAATAAATATTGCTGTGACACAGAGTGGAAATTCTCACATAGGACATGATCGACACCTTTGCCCTTGCGTTCAAGTATGTATACTAGGTCATATTCAAAGTCTCTTAACTAATTTACTATAAGATATAGTCACTCTTCTACCAGCACATAGGAAACTGAGGTTGGAAAGATCCTTGTGGATTCTGGCTTTAAGACACTTGCTACATGCATTAAAACTGTGAGGAAAGGGGCACCTGGGTGGCTCAGTTGGTTAAGCGACTGCCTTCGGCTCAGGTCATGATCCCGGAGTCCTGGGATCGAGTCCCGCATCCGGCTCCCTGCTCGGCAGGGAGTCTGCTTCTCCCTCTGACCTTCCCCCCTCTCATATGCTTTCTCTCTCTCTCTCTCTCTCTCAAATAAATAAAATCTAAAAAAAAAAAAAAGAGAGAAAAAAAACTGTGAGGAAAGAGGAAGCAAACATATTTAAATAAGAGCCTGAAACAAAAAGTCCAAAGGTAAATGCTCCAAACTGCAGGAATATATTTTGTCGTGGAGCGTCTTCCTACACAGGCAGAAACCGAGGCCAGGAATGTTAATCCAGTCGAAGCCCCTCTATATAGAAATACGAGGCCTTGGGAAGATGACAGTTCCCTACCTAAGAGCTGAGTCTATCTTTAACATGATTAATTTGTACAACCAGGTAGGGGATGGGATTTGGAACTTGGTATTGATTGTTCTTTGTTCAATTTGCTTTTTAAAATTATTTTGTTACTGCACCATTTGCTGGTATGTTGCTTGATATTGCAAGTGCTTTAACTCTAAGACAGTGATGGATATCTGGCAGTCTGTAGGGTTTCCCCCTGGTAGGCTGATAAATTATCTTGATCTTTGGGTTATTTTTCAGTCCATAGTGTTGTAATAACAGCAAAGCATTGCATAACCGTTTGAATATTTGTGTACTCATGTTAGCCATTTTGTCAAGTCAGGCCAGCTGTTGTAAGGGTTTTTTTTTTTTTAAGATTTATTCATTTATTTTAGAGAGCGGGGAGGGGCAGAGGGAGAGGCAGACAGAAACTCAAGCGGACTCCACGCTGAGCAGGGAGCCCGATGCAGGACTCAGTCTCACAACCTTGAGATCATGGCCTGAGCCGAAACCAAGAGTCAGATGCTTAACTGACTGCACCAACCAGGCACCCCTGTAAGGGCTTTTTATAATTTGGACACCTGCATCCTTTGTAGGAAAAAACTGTGGAAGATTTTGAATGGGCAGAAGAGATTTCTGGATATCCTTTTAAGGGAATGCTGGAGCCTCTGCGGATTCCTTTGGTCCTATAGAGCTATATAGGATTTGTCTTTGACTAGGCTGTCTTACAACTCTTTAGAGATAGAAGTTAACTTGTCGAACACAAATCGTAAGCAAATCATTCCTGTCCATAAAAATGTAAAATTTGAGGGGCGACTGGGTGGCTCAGTCATTGAGCGTCTGCCTTCGGCTCAGGTCATGATCCCAGGGTCCTGGGATCGAGCCCCGCATCGGGCTCCCTGCTCTGCGGGAAGCCTGCTTCTCCCTCTCCCACTCCCCCTGCTTGTGTTCCCTCTCTCGCTGTTGCTCTCTCTGTGTCAAATAAATAAAATCTTTAAAAAAAATGTAAAATTTGATTATTACTCTGTGGATGCGGACTGATTTTGCCTGTTTTGCATCCCTTTGTAAATTCGTTTCAGCGTTCCTTTCCTGACCATACATGTATAGCACTTTGAGTTTTCTCTCTCTTTTGAAAATAAACTTGAAATTGCACAGCAGATTTAGATTTGTAGAAAGATGCAAAAATAGTACAGAGTTTTTATATACCCCTCACCCAATTCCCCCTTTTATTCACATCTCAAATTACTATGGTATGTTTGTCACAACTAAGGAAACAGCACTGATATGTCAATTATACTCCATCCTTTATTCAGATTTCGTTAGTTTTTCCACTAAATCCTTTTTCTGGATTCCATCCAGGATACCACATTACATTTAGTTATCATGTTTCCTC